TGTGTGTGTGTGTGTTTGTTTGTGTGTGTGTGTGTGTTTGTTTGTGTGTGTTTGTTTGTGTGTGTGTGTGTGTGTGTTTGTGTGTGTGTGTGGTTGTGTGTGTGTGTGTGTGTTTGTGTATGTGTGTGTTTGTGTGTGTGTGTGTTTGTGTGTGTGTGTGTGTGTGTTTGTGTGTGTGTGTGTTTGTGTGTGTGTGCGTGTGTGTTTGTGTGTGTGAGTGTGTGTGTGTGTGTGTTTGTGTGTGTGTTTGTGTGTGTGTTTGTGTGTGTTTGTGTGTTTGTTTGTGTGTGTGTTTGTGTGTGTTTTTGTGTGTGTGTGTGTTTGTGTGTGTGTGTGTGTTTGTGTGTGTGTGTGTGTGTTTGTGTGTGTGTGTTTGTGTGTGTGTGTGTGTTTGTGTTTGTGTGTGTGTTTGTGTGTGTATACCCTGCCACCACGTCATCTTGAACTTTGCAGGGCACGGCGCCAGATTGCAGACCGTGCCTAACAAAGCTGTGCAATCTGGCGGGATACGGAGTCTGATCAACTCCGCGTACCTGCAACATTTGAGTGATTCTGAATGTCTTTTTGGCCCTTTGGTTGCGGCGCTGTTTGTGCTTCTTGCTCTTTCTGGTAAGTTTTCGTCACTAGAGGGAAACCGAGTGCATCGCGAGCCGAAACTTCTTCTACTCGAGACTCATCAGTTGTACTCGAAGGATTAGCACCCTGCCTTGGGAGTTGAAGTGTGTGTGTGTGTGGGTGAGCTTTTTTGTGCTCGTCATGGCCGCACCTGTGCCAACAAAAGACCAAACAGGAGACGCTTGAAGCCTCCCAAACAAGAAGCATTGCGGGTTTCCCTTTGGTTGCCAAGAAAAGGGCAACGAAAAAAGGGGTTGGCTTCTCACCCTCTCTGCATGGTTTTCGCTCAAGCACAGACTCCACCTTTGAGAACGATCCCATTCCCAAACCCAAACCCGGTACAGAATTAGATTGGCGAAGGCGCCCATTTGCTCAAAACAAGGCACAGAAGTGGCATCGCCGGATTTGCAGCTTCAGGGAACTCGCCACGCCGGGGGGTGGGGGTGGGGTGCGATCGGCCATCTCCTTCCAGGTACGGGAGTTCCTTTGCCAAAACCGGCAGCTGCGGCCTCGGCCTTTTCGGGTGCACGTGGATTTTAGACAGTGTGACATTATATGATTTGTATGTAGTGTATATATATTTATATAACACAATTCACTTTATATATAGCACAACTCACTGTGTATATATGTATATATATATATATATATCAATTAGCTTTATTCGAAAATCTGGACAAGCATCAGGTTGAGGCAACCATGCTCCGTGGTTATGCTTGGCGTGGAAGCAACTCCGCGCCACACCATGCGGAAGCATGCGGAAGGCTTTGCAGGAGGGATCCGAACTTCCGCGGAAGTTTTTTGCGGAAGCTTTGCGGATTTGGTGCGAAGTCTTTCGGTTTGCATTCCTTGCGGCACCAATACATGGAATCAAAGCGCCATTCACCCTTCGCCGCGAAAGTTGGCGCGGAAGCCAAGGATGAACCCAGTTGCCCAGTGCCCTTTTCTCCGTTTTTCTTGGGAAGGGTTCCCGCTTAAAGCCAGGATGTGGGCTCCACTCACTCCAATTGGGGGGTCTTGAGCAACGTGGCGGAACCAACCCAGAAACGATGCCCTTTTTGCCCCTGGCCACCAGGCGGTTAAAGATACTGTCCAAGAAGTTGAAAAGGAATCAATACCAGTGCTGAGTCGGGGGTGTCGTTTGTTGAAGCTACTCCGCTTGTGGTTTGTGCTGCAGGGAAAGCAAAGGGGAAAACCCAGTCATTCTGATGACGGGGGTTCCTGTATGTTTGAGACCGACCCAGTTGATGGGCGATTGTACGTTGGCCAGACTTCCAGTTCCAGTTACCACTTTTGGTAGGTAAGGCACTTTTCAGTGCTAGCTAGAAACGCTGAACTTGCTCCTATATATAAAAGCTACCTTCCCAGAAGTCTATGGTGCATTTGGGACGGGAAGGGGGGGGACGAGATCTCTAAATTTCTGGAAGTCAGGCGGCGGCGCTACCCAGTTGTTTGAAATCCCTGGTTTCCTTTACTTCCATTTCTTAAGAATATTTTTTTTTATTTGTTTTTCTCTTGTTGGTTTTAAAGAGACTCTATCACTACTACTACTACTACTACTACTACTACTACTACTACTACTACTACTACTACTACTACTACTACTACTACTACTACTACTACTACTACTACTGGGATTTCGGGTAGATTTTGCCCTCACCTTCTGGTTGCCAATTTCACTTGCTGGTTCGAGAGATGCAGGGAATGAGAAATGACCCCCAGGAAAACTATCCATCCGATTTGGTTTCCTGTAAGGGAGTCCCAAAATGGTTCATTCCCAATACCCGGGCTCGTTGTCATTTCCTACCTATCGCACCAGCAAGAGTAAGTGTGTTTCTTTGGCTGATGTCTATGAGGGAGTTTGCTTGTTTCGAGATGTATATCATGGGGGCTGGGGGGGAGAGGGGGGAGGGCGGGGGGAGGGAGCCCAAAGTTAAGCCCCTTAATTAGGGGCTCCTCCCCTTCTGTTCCGAGCCCCCACCCCACGAGGTGGCAAAGTCGAGTCAGAATGAAGCATCCCTTGAGGCGTATGATTTTTGGTATCCCTTCCGATTCGGTTTGTACCAACCTGTTGGTACCGGAATCCCAAGCCGTCAGTCCGCGGACAGAGACGTCAAGATCAGCGGGCCCATTTTTCGCACTGAGAAAAACGACAAAGGGAGCCAGACCCCGGTTTGACCAACTGTACTAGGTCCCCCAGCCAGGTGCCCTTTTACCGTTTCTTTGTTGGGGGAGGGTTCCCCTAAAATCGACTTCAGGAAAAAGGGTACCCTCATTCCAACCTCTGTACTGGAGGACCTAGTTTATTTTTAAAGCCGCGGGTTTGAAACATCACCTGGTTGCCAGGGAGAAGTTCCTCTTGGGGTGATGTTTTGGGTTAGGGAAAAATATGAGCGTGTCATTTTTGTGGCCGAGCTTTTCTGAGTGGGTTGGGAAAGAAGGGAAACTGCCTCTCCCTTTACAAAAAAGCAAATCCACAGATTTTGGGGGGATTCCCTTCAAGGAAGCCAGTTTCGCCATAGGAAACGGCGGGGTTTTCCTTTCGCGGCACGGACTCCACCCCCCTGCCTTCCGCTCATCTCCCCGTCGTCGTCGTCGTCGTCGTCGTCGTCAGACGCGTCAGACGCGCGAGGCTCATCCCGGAGGTGCCGGCGGCTTCGAAGCTCAAGATCTTCCGGCTCCTGCGGGCGCGAGACGAGATCGCTTCGCTTCGCTTCGCTTCGCTCCGGGCGCGCGAGTTCGGCTCGGGCGCGATCGGTGGTCCTTTTTGGGCTCGAGAAATAGGCGGCGAGTCCTGGCTGACTTGTTTTTTCCTCATTTGGGGAAACCCATCTATTTCCAACCGAAAAGGACACCAATGGTTCGGTCGGGACCTCGGCGTGAGCGGGGCTGGGACGCTCTTGGTCCCGCGGCCAGGTGCCAACGCTCTTTCACTCGCTTTTTTTTGGGGGAGGGTGTTCCCCCTATAAAAAAAACGCACCCTTGTTCTAACCTCTCAAATCTGGAGGAAGGGATGGAATCGGAAGGGAGCGATATGGTCCAAAGAGGCTGGTTCTGTTCCGAAGGCTGGAAGATGGGAAGGTTGATTCATGGGAAGGGGAAGGTTGGGATCGTTGGGAAGGTTTGGAAGCTTGGGATGTCAGGCTTTGTCATGGAAGAGACGGAAGAGCACCGAAGGTTCCTCATTTCGAGGTTCGAACTCCAAGTCATTAAAAGGGTTGGTTGCATAATATAAGTATAAGCCCCTCACATGAAAGGCTCCCATTTGCACCAGCAAGCAACAAGCCCTTTCTTTGGTGCATGTTGCCTGGATGTTAGGACTTTATATAACTGTTCGCTAACTAATGTTGGTTTTCCGTATTAAACCACTAAAAGTGTTCAACTTTTAGCAGGGGAGCAGAGTTCGCATTTTGTTCGGTGCAACTCAGAGGCGCAATGGATACAAAAATGCTAACTTCCTGAGTTCATGAACTTTAAACTTCTTGGGAAGCAGTGGTACATATAACGTTTGGACTTTTTGGGGGCCATCCACTCAGCAATTGAGAATAGTCGATGTTTAAGGGATTCCCAAAGTTGACTAGTTGACTTTAGCTAGCTTTGTCATGCATGATACGCCGACGACAACAAGAACTGGGTGATACCTAAGGTGGACATGGCCTGAAGTTTTCTCTTTGGCTAACTTTGTCACGCATTTGGCCATTTGGACAAGTATGTCAACTTTTGGCAAGGTGATGTTTGAAAGGTGAACCTATGGCAGTGAGCCAAGGAAATCCATCTAAAAGGATAGCTCTGCTGATTGTTGTCCAAGAGCAAGCTCTGCAGACGGGTCCTGCCCCCCATGTCTCAGCCTGAGCATGTTTAGAGCTTAGGAAGGTTCCTCGAGGCTTCATGTTTGAAGATAAGCGGGCCCCGGGGATTCCTTTTGGTGTCCCGAACCCCCTCAGGTGGTGAAACCTTCCGTCTTTTTAAAACAGCCTTGAAATACCAGCAGATTCCCCGAACACAGCGGGGTTTTCTTGAGTTTCCCTCCGGTTCGCCTGTGAGCCACCCCTCCAAAAGCCCAAAAAACATACCCACTTGGGCATAGGTGTCCGTTTTGGGTGAGCCTGGTGAGAAAGATCGATGGGTCAAAGCTTTGGTTCCATGTAGGCCATGCATTTTTCCCAAAGGCCACCTGTCTAGGCGACACTTCCATGTCCATTCTGAACCCAGGGATCCGAATCTTTTCAGAAAACCATCAGAACCCCAGGTTGGAAACGGCGATCGGTCTTTGGAAAGAAGGATGATTGAAAAGAATGGGGAATCAACCCCTAGAACCTATTGTGCATGTGTGTGTGGCTTCTTCGTGCTCGAGAGAAGGCTGCACCGCCCCTGAAAAAGGCCAAACACGCGACGTGGGGGCATCAAGGTCAAAACCGCGCCAGGACTATGCCATAGAAGCCTGGGCAGACCTTGGCCGCGAGGTGAGGGAGAGTGTCCCGGAAGATATGATGGGTCCAAAATATCCTCTTGTCGATATGATGGGTCCAAAATTGTATGTTTGTTTTGTTGCTTTAAAACAAACCACACAACAACAGCTGCAAAAAAAAGAACATATGATTTGGGTTGGGTCAGAAGGTGACTTACAGTCTAGGTTTCCCAGCCAGGTGCCCTTTCTCGCCCCTTTTTTGGTTGGGAGGGTTCCCCTACTAAGACAGACTACAGAAAAAAGTTGGCACCCTTATTCTAACCTGTTTATTGGAGGACCCAGGTGAATTTTCAGAAACCTCTGGATTTGGGCATGCCTCTTTCCCTTCTTCCCAGTCCCAGCTCTTCTTCTTGTTTTTCTTCGAAGAGTGCGTTTCGGTCATTCAGAATGGTCGACCTCTTGAGGTTGTTGAAGCGATGGGCTGAAATGCGAAGATGTGGGGATGTGGGGCAAGCAGCTGTGTTGAGACTTTAACTTGGCAGATTGAAGTACGCTAGAAGGGGTCGGGTATATATCAATTTGTTGGCTGTGGCTCAAAAAACTGGTACCAAAATGGAACTCTGGTAAGTGGAAACATGGACCAAAACCTGCGTAACCCCCCCTGTTTAATTTTGAGCCACAGCCTGTTGAACGGGTGCATGTGCCTTGGTTTGTGCAGTGGGATCAATCTTATTTTGGTGCTGTTTTTGGATCCTGGATATCAGCTTGTCTCAGAGTAGGAGACTGCCAAGATTTTGTTCCTTTGATTTCCCTCTTGAAGAACCCAAGCAAAAGATAACCTCAATAAATATCCACAACACATTTCTACTTCACTGCTATGTGCTTGACGACGCCAGCTATTGCGTAGACAGCTTCCATGGTGTGTAGAAGTGCGTTCCCGCCACTTGTTTGGGCGTCATTTGACGGTGCCCTTTTCATTGCCTTGACTGGACGCCACCATTTTGACACATAGTGTACGCAGTTCACATAGTGTACGCCACCATCTTGACAGTGAGACATGTGATGCTTAGATCTATACCCTGCCCTTGGGTTTCTGCGTTGGGTCCCTGCCGAGGAGGGAGGGCCCATCTTGAACACGATCCTGCCTCCGCTTTAGAGCAAGAGCCCGGGTTTGTCACCAGATGGGTACATCCGGTTTACAAGATAGGCTACTTGTATATTGGAACCCTGGCCACTGTGGACGGAGTAAAGCCATGAACGACGAAGTAACCGGTTCACATATATAATTAATCATATCAACACTAGTAGTAATAATAAACATAATAACAACAATACAACAATAGTAATAGAAGTAGTAATAGTAATAATAGTACGAATAGTGATTAAGAATAATAATAATAATAATAGTGACAATAACAATAATGGTAGTAATGATAGTAATAATGATAATAGTACTAGTAATAATTATGATACTGATAATGATGCTAATCATGCTAATTATAATAATAAGGGTTCAGAAGCATGGATGTATCCACGCCGGAGGTACCCAACAAACAACTCGGGGTTCATACCTATGCAAATTGGGTCCCTATATGTCCCTCTTCGGTTTTAAACGTCACGGTTTTTGGCCCATGAAGAGTGAGTGTTCCTTAACACGGGGGGTGCTGCTTTAAGGGGCAATATCGCTGAGTTGCCCGTGGTGCCCCTTTTTTTGTTTTCTTTTTGGGAAGGGTTCCGATTCCTTTAAAGTCAACCAACCAAAAAAAGCTGCCGATTCTCTCTTTTTTCTCCATGGAAGTCTACTGGGCATCTGAGACACGTCTAGGACTATCCTTCTTTTCAGGAAACCATCAACCACCCAAGGAACCGGCTGGTGTTTGAAAAGAACGATGCTTGAAAAGAATGAAAAAGGGATCTACCCCTAGAAGAATGCCGCGGATGGACCAAATCCTCAGTTGCCCAAATCCGACCTTTTGACCTTTTGGTTTTCCCGTTTTGGGTTTCCATTTTTCGTGGAGCTGCCAAAAAGTGATCACCTTTTTTTTCTGGGTCCCTAAGGGGCAAGTGAGAATCCATGTCTCGGGCTCGGGCTTCCCGGGCTTTCGGGCTTCAGCGTGGCATCAGCGGTGATTTTTTTTTCCGCAGGATGCCGGGCGTGGGGATCTTCTGGAGAGGCTCGAGCAGCTGCCCGGGCGCCCCAGATGGAGCGAAAACGCCCGGCTGCGGCGCCACATGGCGGGGGGGGGGGGGATGGGGGGGGGACCCCCTCAAGAAGGAAGAAGCACATGGCTTCCTGTTTTGGTTCCCTTTAAAAACAATGGTCAAGCTTCTTCCGGGAGTTTGGACCACTTTGGCGGTAAATCTAGGAAGTTCGGGGACTTGTTTTGGCCTGTCCACTCAGGAAGTAAGGAGTGTTTCTCCAAATTAGGAGGACCGATTCCTGGTAGGGTAGTTTCCCGTTGGTTGCCTTGGTAAAACCATCACGCGAGCTCAAATGAGTTGCTTGGCAGTTTGTTGTTCACTTTGGCGCCTTGCTAGCTGCGGCTGCACCCCCCTGTTTCCTTGGTTTTGTGTAGGGTTTCCCGTCAACAACCCAAAGGGACATTCAGGCCCCGGACAAGATGCAACCATGGTTTGAGCAAGGCAGATTTTTGGCTGTCACCTTCTTCGACGGTACCACTTGGAGAACGCTTTGGAATATTTCTGCCCCTGATGACCCGCAGAAGAACAACCAGTTCCTCAACGATTTGGCTGATGCGGCTTTGAGAGCTCAGCCGTACGTCATCCTGGGCGACTTCAACAACTCACTGGAATGGGGTACATATTACAAGCTGCTGGATGCGCTGGGGGAAGAGGCCTTTACCTTTCAACGAGCCCAATCCAAGACTAAGATTGATGACATCTTGGTTCACAAAGATGCCCGAATGGAATTTGGTCCCCCGACTATGTTCTTTCCTTTTGAAAATGGAGATGCCATTCTGTCTTCAAGGCTTATTTGGGAAGCCGAAGCTCATTGCTTTTTGCAGATTGAACTAGATGCGCAGATCAACTTGCTCATTCGCCTTCTTTCGCTCCTTGGGTTTGAATTCTGGGCAAAGCCCCAGTCGACAGACAGCTTCACTATCGCCAGCCACAATCAAAACCCGGGTAGATGAAGGTTAACAAGGGACGATCCCAGCCATAAATAGCTGCGGATTTTCGCCCTCTGAGTTCTTGAAAAATGGCTCTGTGTACCGGGTTTTGATTATGACCCAAAATTCGAGGCTGGTTTGGGCTTTCGCGTTGATTGAGGCACCCAACCCAGAAAAAACCCAAATTCGTGGTGTCCCTGTGTTTCTCTTTCAATCACCCCCGAAAAGGGTAGAGTAGACATGGTTGTTGTTGGGAAACATTTTACGCATTTTTGCTTATTGTGGTTTAGTGGTTGAGATCCAAATCCACTGAACTGCTAAAATTTAACTGTTTGCTCCACTTCCAACGTCAACCAAGCTATCCCACGGCCTTTGTCCGGAAGATAGGTCAGATCTTGGGTTGCTGCCAAGCTTCAAGCCTGAACCCAAAGAACGTCCGACATCCACACGGATGAAGCTCTGCCACAGTTTGTTGACAAAGAGTCGTTCCAGCACTTGATTCTTTGGTGAAACTCGTGTTTGTGGCAAAGAATAAGCTGGGGATACCCTCCCACAAATGCACATGGAGCCTGACAGGGGTTGCCTTTAAAAAAAAAAGGAAGGTCTTCCAGGACTCCCCTGTCAGCTTCCAAGCGAATGGGTGGGAGGGTACTTTGGCCGGCGTATTTCCCACGTTGAGTTGTTCGGGTCAAGCAAGTGACTGCAAGTGCCTAGCTGAAGGCAGAAGTTCTTTCAGTGCTCCAGGGTTGGACAGGGGGAAGTATTTGAGATACCAAGGAAGTAGACCGGGGTCGTGGGAAGGGGGTTCTCCAAACAACTGCGGGGTTCGTTTGTGGGAGGCGCTTGCTTGTTGTATCACAGAAGTAGATTCCATTTCCCACAGCCCATTAGACTGGCTGATGGGGAGCAGCACCCGATTGACTTCCTTGCGCATGGAAACAATAATACAAGCTGCCTGGAGCTCAATTCCAGTTCTACGTTCAGCAGTTGTGTTTCGCTGCTCTTCTGAAACCATGCAAGGAGGTGGCTGGGTCAGATCAGCCCGGCAAAGCTTAGGGACAGGCGCCAGGGTCCGAACCTGTAAAATGCGAATTAGGACCACTATATTAGACTATATTGCTTCCCCAGAATTAGTTCCTTTTTTTGTTGTTTTTGTTTTTTGGCTTTTTTGGGTCCCTTTGTTTTCCACTAACCGGGCAAAACATATATTTTTTGCTGGGGTCCTAATTCCAGCCAAGCTGTATGGTCCTTTGGTAACGGATCTTTGGACTTTAACTTTTCGGGCAACAGTTTGGATTTTCCGTTGGATCCACAAAGAGTAACAACTTCTTGTAGAGGGGTCGCTGCAGAAACCAAGTAGTGATTGTTCAATCAAGGCGATAGAAATGTCTCTGAGTTTGGTGCGTGATAGTGGGTGATAGTGACGGATTCTTCAGTCAGTCTTCACCCCGTTTAGCTGCTGTTCAAGTGAGCCACAATCACCACCCGGGAAAGGGAAGGTTTGTATGCACGAAAATCCACCCAGAAATGGGAACCTTCTCCGCCTCTGAATAGTCCCTTTCATTTGTCTGGGATTACCCACCGTTTTGGTACCGCTCGGTTTTGATTGTGGCTCAAGTAAGCTTCTCATAGATACCCTCGCCTTTTCACATGGAATCTGAGGTTCGGGGGGTCCTGGTTTGGAGCATTCTCCTTTTAAAGGGACCGGGTCCCGAACGCCAGGTTCCATGTGAAAAGGGCGGAGGGCAACAGAGAAAGGAAGCATCAGCATGACCTCCGGTTGCTTCTTGGTTGCGCGAGGCCTCTGCTGGTCCCTTTTCTGCAGCCACAAAGCTTGGCGATCCCGGTGAGTGTCAAGGCGGAGCGCTGAAAGCAAACTACCTTGGCCAGGTCTTTTTTGTCCGGAAAAAAAAACTTACATTTTTCCACTGTTGGGTTGAAAGGGAATCTATCACTACTGGACATATTTGTTTGTCCAGGGGGGCTTAAGCAAATGGGGAAAAAACAAAGGGAAAACAGATGCCCCATTGGGAGTTTGGGAGTTGGGACTTATCATTGTAAGAGTCCAACTGCTTTGGCCGGTTACGCCAGATGACACGTCTCATGGTCCCGTGACTCTAAATTGGGCCCCCCCTCCAGAGCTTCTTAATACAGCCTCGATATAGAATATAGCCGAGACTCTCGGACTCTTGGCAGTTTGCCGAACTGTCGAGGATGACACGCACCAGGGTTTCTCAGCCGACCGACGTAAAGTGAACCCTTGAAGGGCCCCTTGTCATGCTCCAGGTTCCTGGGTCGGGGAATGCCTTGTTCCGGCAGGCGCGCGTGCTCAAGATGGCCGCTTTGTATGCAGCTCGCTTGCATGTGGCTGGATGTCTTGCATGGCAGATGTGGATGGCAAGCTGTTCTTGTACCGATTCACACCGTTCTCCTTCAGTGGAGAGCTCGCCAAGTGATCCGGGACAAAGGGAACACCAAACATGTGTGGTTTACCTTGCAAACTCCTTTCGAAACCACCCCAAGAACGAAACTCATTGTTGCCACGGAACCACGTGGAGGTCAGACCCAGAAAGGGGCTTCTGGTGGGTGCCGTGTGGGGTGTCTGTTTTGAGCGGAACCCGGTGTGGCTCGGTTTCTTGAAGGGACACCAAGCCAATTTGTTGGGCGCGTTTGAAGACCACGATCCGAGGACTTGCCTCTGACCATGCAGCTTCTGGATGAGGAGCTTCTGTCCCGAGCACGGCAGAGCAAGGGCAGCCCAGTCAGCGGGAACCTCTGAAGGGGGAAGCCAAGAGGACACCAGCCGCTTGGATCCGTCTAGGTCCCCCAGCTAGGTGCCCGCTGTTTTACCCCCTTTTTTGGTTGGGAGATTCGGTTCCCCTACTAAAATAGACAACAGAAAAAAAAGTTGGTACCCTTATTCTAGTCTCTGTACTGGAGGGCCTAGCCAACCAGAATACTCCACTCGGGTCTTGGCTTCAGGTTTCCCGGAGTCGCCCTTCGACGGAGAGTCAAATGGCCTCTTTTTTTTCTAGGGCTGCCTTCCCCCTTCTTTCCAAGGATCCTTCTTTCTAGAAAACCGCCAAAGACCCTAAGCAAAAATGGCCGGTGTTTGAAAAGAAAAAGGAGAATCAACCTCTAGTTGTTTTTCTTGGTGGAGTACTTCCTGAGTGCCTGAACTTTGAACTTTTTGGGCTTGGTCAATTTGATTGGGCTGTTCAAAGGCGGGGCCTTGGTTTTCCTTTGCAGCGGCTTCCCATTGGGGATTATGGAACCTAGCCCAGTTTTAGTGATAAATATCAAAAATCGATTTTTTGTGTTGTTTTTTGTTTGTAATACACTCGATCGGTGAGTTAAAATGCCATGACAGAGGTCGGAATTAAGTTGCTAAGAGGTTGCCCAGATTGGATGTGTGTTTTTGGTGGCTTTTAGGGTCGGACCGGGCTACAATGTGGTTCTCAAGATTGGCCCCTGAGCTCATTGCGCCTCCTTGTTCAATGCCCAAAGAGGTTCATTGGGGAATATTAGGAGGTGGTTCAGATATAATCGAGAACATTCTTCTAGTTTTACGTGACACAGTTTGGTGGAAGTACATGGCACAAGTCCCCCCCATTTTGTCTTCAACTTACACCCAAAGGGACTCGTGTCATCTACCTTCACCCTGACGTACACAGGTGTCTTCTTTGGGCAGCTTGGTTCAAAAATACACGAGTTCAACCTGATTCAGTTTCCTAATCACTTGCCACAGCCCATCTTATGTTTTCCATATCGCACCTGCCAGACATGGGTGTGTCTCAATGCCCAAAGTTATTGGTCGTGTCAATCTGTTCACATTCGGGTTGCTCCATGAGTTGATAGACTTGTGACATGTCACAAGGGTCACCACATCCCTTTTCCAGGGACCCCAACTTTCGTTTTTGCCGTTGTTCGCTCTCATTGGATCAGTTCTCGGGTGACCCTTGTAATGTTGACCCCGGATTGATAAACCCCATTTTCTGAATATGGGCGTGTTCCTCCCAAAAGTGAGAAATCCGGACTAAAACCAGAATCGGACACCCCCCATAAGCTGCGATGTATGAATCCGGGGTCAAGGAAGAACATGCATCGACACATCTCTCACGTTGCTCAAAATGGAAGGGTGGCCCGCAGGATCCATTGGCTCAGCCGTTTCTTGTCGGCCCGAAATAAGGCCTGCTCGTCCAGGATTCGCAGCCGCCTCAGTGGATGTTCGCTGCGATTTTCGAGCGGGGTCTGAATAGGACTTGACACTTGACACACCTTGTGAGCTTGGACCATTTCAGTGCAGGGTTGTGGTTGATCAAGGGGTTATCCAACCACTTCTGTGATACTTGTGGGAATCTCCCCCTTCTGGGGGGTTAGTCTTTGTGAAGCCCTTTCTGCTGTATCGCAGAAGTGGATTCCATTTACCACAGGCCTGTTTCAGTGGCAAACATGAACAGCTCGGTGACTCCTTTCGGTCGCTCACTGGATCGGAAGTGCGCTTTCCTTAGTCTGAGTCTCAGTGTCAGGAGTTATGATGCGCCCCTGGGTGTTTCTCGGCTCTCTCGGATGTGCAAGCTTTGGAGGTGGCACGATTTGTGCAGGAAAGTGCAGCGGAGCCCTGCAACTACATGTGTTCGTGTTTTATACTAGGTGCCCCAGAAGTGCCATTTTTAACCCTTTTTTGGAGGAGGGCTCCCCTACTCAAATAGACTACGGAAAACAGGGCACCCTTATTCTAACCTCTCAAATCTGGAGGACCTAGTATACCTTGGTGCAACGGTGATATACGGTGATCCTGTTCAGGGCCGACTGGCAGCGAGTCAAGTCAAGATTGCCCCGGGATGTTGAATCATCACATTGTTCACCCACCCGTCGTCATTGGAAGGGTCAAACCAGTACCCAAACGTTTCCGTTCTAACGAAGACAAGAGTACCTTTGTCCTTCTCCCATGGCTTGGCCTGGGCTTCTCAGATACGCGGACTTTGTCCGCGACGTGTGGGGCATAAATAAATTGAGCGTTTGCAGACCTGAGCGGCTCAGAGATGACCAGAAATCCTGGTGGGCGAAGAGCTTAAACCAAAAATGATGTTTAGCACACAAACATATTTTTTGTTGTTTTGAGGTCCAATTTATAATGCATTTGATAATGTTTATTCTTCTTCTTTTTTTCTTTTATTAAAATTGGTTTTGGTACCATTCTCTGCCCACCGAGACCCTTTCCTTGCGATCGGTGCTAAAGCTGGGGAATGCGGGAATGAACCTGGGGATTAACTGAAAGGAAACCACAAGAGACGGTTTGTCATTCCCTGATCCCTGCTGAGAAGCAGCGTGTTTTGTCCCTTCTCTTTGAATGGGGGCGACAGGCAGCAAGTTCCCCCTTTCCTCCCACCAGCCTGCACAAGGAGCTGTAGGCTTAAAAGCACAGGCTCCACAGGTACCATGAATCTGGACCTTGGAGAGGTTCCCTAGGAGCTGCTCAGGAGCCTTTACATGGTTGTCGTTAGGAAACATTTTACATTTTTGCCTATTGTGGTTTAGTGGGAAATCCCCTTTTAACTGCTAAAAAATAATTTGTTGCTCCTCTTCCAACGTCAACCAAGTATTTAAAGACGCTCTTCAGAGGCTTAGGCAGCTGAAACCGTTTGCCTTCAGGTTTGCAGCCAAGCTGGAGGAGCCGAAAGTTCCAGTTCCCAACTATGGAGTCGCCCCCGGCGTGCGTGGGCTTGTAGCTTCTTTTTGTTCTGTCTCTCTCTCTCTCTCTCTCTCTCGTTGTTTTTTTCTCTCTCTCTCTCTCTCTTTTTCTCTCTTTCTCTCTTTCTCTCTTTCTCTCTTTCTCTCTTTCTCTCTTTCTCTCTTTCTCTCTTTCTCTCTTTCTCTCTCTCTCTCTCTCTCTCTCTCTCTCTCTCTCTCTCTCTCTCTCTCTCTCTCTCTCTTTGTTCCTCAACGTGTTGGCACGGCCTTGTGCATGTCAGAGATACAAGCTTGCCCACGCCAACTAAATATATATATATATATATACTTATATTAAGTTGCCTCGCTGAGAATCGCACCTGAGGCTTTGCGGCCCATTTAAGTGAACTTCATCATTTTTACGGGGGCGAAATAGAAAGTGTGGCGGGTTAGAAAAGACAACGCGGGTTGAACAAACGGGACATCGGAGGGTTCAGTGTTTCGAAGGGATGCCCTTTCTTACCGCCACCCAGAAGGCTCAGACAGGTCAACTGTCTGTTTTCGGGTGACGGTTCCCAGGAGCTGGCCGAGAAAGTTCGGGCAGAGCTGGCCAGTAGTGCAGAGGATGCTGCGTGCATCACAGGCGTGGCAAGTGGCATTGCCACCTTTCCCCGGCGGCACACTCCCGGGTTTCAATACCCAAGATTCCCGAAGAAAGAAAACTGCCTGTTGGATGGTTTATCATTAAGGGTCATTCCAATTCTCATTCCCTGCTGAGCACCAGCAAGATACAGCCGCTATGTAAGTAAGGGGGTACACCCTCCTCAGCCTCCAAGTTCCTTAGTGGTGGGGTAGAGATGTATGGGCGTGACTTTTTGGAATGGGGTTGGGGACGTTAACACCAAACAAAGATTTCCGATTTCGTGACCCCTCGAGCCCCTCGTGAACTTTCCAGCCATTTCCGGGTCCACCAACTTGATAATCCTCTTCCAGCTTGATTGCCTCCAGGCTTCTTGTCTAGGTCCCCCAGTGCCCTTTTTAACCCTTTTTTGGAGGAGGGTTCCCCTACTAAAATAAACTACAGAAAGAAAATCGGGCACCCTTATTCTAGCCTCTCAAATCTGGAGGACCTAGTGGTGGGATTTCGTGCTTTTCTCAACTGCTTTGTCGGGGAACTTTCCTGCAAGTGAAGCATTCGCCATTGGGAGGAAGGCTTTTTGTTTGTCCCTTTCCTAGGTCCCCCAGCTAGCTGCCCGACCTCTCACCCCTAATTTGGTTGGGAGGGTTCCCCTACAAAAGATGACAGAAAAAGGGTACCCTTATTCCAGCCTCTCTACTGGAGGACCTGGTTTCTGAAAGCATTGAACCCTCAAAAGCAAACGAGCACACACACACAACACACACACACACCCATTTGTGGCTATTCACGGTGCAATGTGTGGTTGGCAACAATCGCAACACCTGATCAATTGCAGGTGGTCAAAACTGTTGAGTGCATGGTACGTATCGACTTGAGAGGTATCTTTCCGAACCTCCGTTGGAAAGGCGCCTAATAAGCGTTCCAAGTGCCTGCCAGCAACACACTCGTGACATGAGACGTCTTCCACACAAGGACAAATGGAACTTTGAACGAATTTCGGGGGTCACCCCCCTCCCCCAATTCCATTTACGAGGGAGAGGGGGTTTGTGAAGGCATGCGGCGACGACATGGTTTCTATGGCAGGTGTGGTGAAACGCGGCATTCTTATTCGCAAAGCACGGCCCCTTGCGCCAAGCATGCATACTTCCATTTGCTTAGTAATACTTTTATTTTCCCCCCTTGGTTTTAAAGGGGCTGTATCACTACTGGACATATATGCTTTTCTCTTTTTTTTCCTGGGGGCGTATCCACACATGGAATTCGTGCGGCACCAAAACTGGAGTTGACCCCGGCCAGGTGGAGGGGCAGGCGCTCAGGCGGGTCTGATGTTCGTTTCGTACTGGCTGAAGGTCGGAGAAATTCCCCAGTGTTGTCTGCGGCACCCCCTGTTGTTAACTCACAAAGAGTCTTAACTTCCGCCGTTCGGATGTCAGATTCTTGCGTATCAAGATTTTGTTCAGAAGTCTTGGGGGGGGGGGGGGCGTGCCCGGGGGGGGGGAGGGGCTTTGGGGCTTTGGGGCTGAACTAAATGTGTATGTGTGTGTGTGTGTGTGTGTGGGGTGTGGGTGTGGGTGTGGGTGTGGTGTGTGGGTGTGGGTGTGCGTGTGCGTGTGCGTGTGCGTGTGCGTGTGCGTGTGCGTGTGCGTGTGCGTGTGCGTGTGCGTGTGCGTGTGCGTGTGTGCGTGTGCGTGTGCGTGTGCGTGTGTGCGGTGCGCGTGCGCGTGCGGTGCGGTGCGCGTGCGTGCGCGTGCGCGTGCGCGTGCGGGTGCGGGTGCGGGTGCGGGTGCGGGTGCGGGTGCGGGCGTGTGCGTGTGCGTGTGCGTGTGCGTGTGCGTGTGCGTGTGCGTGTGCGTGTGCGTGTGCGTGTGCGTGTGCGTGTGCGTGTGCGTGTGCGTGTGCGTGTGCGTGTGCGTGCGTGCGTGTGCGTGTGCGTGTGCGTGTGCGTGTGCGTGTGCGTGTGCGTGTGCGTGTGCGTGTGGGGTTGTGCTAGTTTGCTTTTTTCCTCACGTTTTGGGTTTGTTCGTTGGCACTTTGCCGGTTTGGGTTGCTTTCTGGCGCAGTTCTTTTTTAAGGCTGCCCTTTTTTGGGGATCGTTTGGGGAACGAAAGAAACAACTACCGTTTTGGTACGATGTCTCAAGCCACGATTTCATTCTGTGAGCATATCCTCATTTGAGGGATATCCGGGGTCGTGCATGTGCCTGTTCTAGGGGCCTGCACTCACAAAATGCAGCGACTTCTTTTAGTGCGGCCCAGCTACATTGCTTCATGGTCGGTCCCGTGCGCATACGCCAAGGCGTTGGTGCATTTTGCCAAGGGATGTTGGGACTTTGACTTTTGGCCAACTCATGGGTTTTCCGCATTAGAAAGAAACCGAGCAGAGGTCTTCGCATGGAAGAAGCTCGGCGACGGAAGAAGCCACACGGTTGATGCGCTTTCAGAAAGGTGGGAAGACGATTTCGGCAGATTTCAGCCACCGGCAGCTCTCCCCGAACACTTGGCCCAGCGATGCCGATGCGTAACACGTGACGTCACACAGGCACACGCCTAGATTCATGTCAACTGGGGTAGACTTAGGATACATTTTACACTTTACCAGTGACTCCATGTGAAGCAACCAGCAATAGAATATACATTCAACTGGGCCTAGCTCTAATCGTGTCAAGGATTTGTGAAAAACATGAGTAGGCAATTGTGAAAACATCTAGCCGATGCTTTTGCTGGGGGGGTGCCAGCAGGCTCCCCAGATCAAAAAGTCCTGGTCAGCGCGGATTCGACTCATCTTCGTTTGGTCTCGGCAGGCGCCGGCCAGCGCGTAGGCGGGTGAAGTGGGGGCAGTGCCAGCCAATGCCTAACCTCCAGTCTAAGCCACGAAGGGACGGAGTCAGGAGTTGACAGATTGAATGCATCATTTTCTCATACTACTCCACCGCAATGGTCTACGAAAAGCTGAGTAGAGAGGGCATGTAGGCCATGCTGATGGCATCGGAGGGTGTTTTCTTGGGTTGCTGCCCTTTGTTCAAACTACCCAGAACTGCGGTTCGCATGGGTGGCTTCGGTGTTCGAATTCCGGGTTCTTATTCAATCCGGGCAACTTGGAAGCTACGGCTTCCCTCCAAGCCGTGCGTCTTTCGCGCTCAAGGTTGAGACTGTTTGCCTTGGATCGTGGGGGTCCTTTGTTTGACCTGAGCCAAAGACACAAGGGCGGTGTTTCTTTGCTTCAAGCCAACACCAACTTTAGGTGTTGGCTTCTTCGAGAGATGGGCGCTCGCTTGTATCTTGTGAGCTGGTGCCCTGTTTGGAGTTGGAAAAAGAAAGGGAAGCCAACAAGAACATTACCATTGGCCTTCCCCCCCCCCCCCGAACTTGACACAGACCCAGACATGTCGGTTCATTCATTTGGGACATCCTGAAGCTAGGTTGAAACGAGACTGTCACATGTCTCCCCAGAGCTTGGAGTTTTAAGGGGTAAGTCTATGATGATCTTCAACATGCTGCGATTTTTTTCCATCTCAGCGAAAGAACATGTGCAATTGGTGCAGAGGCATTCCTCTTAGCTTCTTACGATCTCGTTTGAGTTGCGTGCTGATGTTCCCTTCTGGAGGACAGTCCCCTCGTCGAATTGCGCCTTCTGCCTTCTCTGGCAGGCCTTTCCATCGGGTGTCGAGATCTTTAATCGTAGCTCGAGATCGAGGCCTTCGGCAGAAGCCTGACTCCCTCGTGGCTCTTGAACAGTCCCTTCGATGTTCCTGTTTCTTGATACCTTGCCCTTCCACTGGCAACACAGATGACCCAAGTATTGACAACTCATTGATCGGATTCTTGGCTGAGCTGATAACATCGGAGGACTCGCGTGCTGCTACAAGGAAGCACAGGCACCTTCAAAGAATCAGTTGTACTTGGAGTATTAAGATTCACACCCTTGTTTTGCTTCCTGACTTGAAGAGGCTCGAAGGTTTTGTTAGCTGTTGGATATTTGCAATCTGGCCAATCTGTCAAGTGTCAACAGTTTCCGGAATTGCCGGAGGGAGCGTGGTCTAGCTGCCTGAGCGCTTCAACGGAATAATGAAAACTCGGGTAGTTTCGGAGTTGAGATCAGGTTTAGTCAACATTCAATGGTCAAGATATACAATAGAATATATATATATATACATATTCATTTGCACTCATATTTTTAGCCTATGGTCCATCACTTGAAAATACCCATGCTGCACGAATGCGCAGCCAAGCTGTGCAGAGACACTTTGCATTGTCCATAGAGGGAGCAGCCCTCGCTCACTGGGACGACACGATTCGCCAGATGATGCGGAAAGCGCCCAGTGAGCGATTCGCCACACCTTTCTGGAGTGTTTGCTCCCATTTTGACTGCTACTGGGTTGGATCTTTAGACTTCAACTGTTTGGGAAATCAAGGGTTTCCACTAAACCCCCCAAAAAGTTAAACTTTTTGCAGGGGGGTCAACAGCAACCAAGCCGTAGCGATGTACCACGGAATGACTGGCCCGGAAGTTCGCAAAGAAAGCAGAGTGGGTCAAAACCAATGGTACCATTTTGGGGCGGATGAACACCATGTACCACCTATTTTGATGTTCACAAGGGGACCAATCGGTTTTGACCCACAGCCACGTGGCCCAATTTTTCCAGTAAATGCGGGAAAGTCGAGAGAGAATCACTGGGATGGCTGAATCAACGTTTGGGGAATACGTGCCCTGGTTTTCACCCAGCCGCTGTGGGAAATCACTTCCATTTCGTTAAGAATGTGTTTGATTTCCCCTGCTGGTTTTAAAGGGAATCGATTTCACTACTGGAACTATTTGCTCATTTTTGCCAGGGGACTTGAGCAAATGGCCCCGATTTGTCGTTTGGGCATGTCCCATTCGAGAGGGAATAAACTCCCGGGAACATCCTCCTGAAGCCGATAGGTGGATTTTTCAGAAAATAGGTAATAGGGTTTGAACCCCTTTGATTTGAGGAGGGTATTTCAAGAAAGCATCATTTGACTTATTTGATATTGGCAGAAAAGAAAGACCCGGGTGGACATCATGGGGTCAAATTAGAACAACAAACCTTAATTTGTGGCTGCTCCCGGAATTGAATTGACATCATTGGCCCTGGAGTGCGGCCGGGTCAGAGAATGTGCTTCTGGCGACTGGGCTGCATTATGTTTTGGGGGGGATGCAGAGTTGTCGATCTACCCGCCCCATGTTCAACCTTTCAAGGGGGCCCGTTTTGACGTTCCAATAGAACTTGCGATGCCTTTTCCGCAATTTGTCCGCTCTTGAATCTACATATTCCACACCAGCAATGCTTAAAGCCTAACAATTGTGTATTGGAAGACACTACTGACTTTGGCAGAGGATAGAAGTTGCTTTCCTCTAGACTTCACAACTTTCATGGTTTGTAGCTGAACAGCATTGCTCGAGAAACAGGAGAGGTTTCAGCGGAACAAACAAAAAAACACAAACAACTCAGAAACAAGTCAGCCAAAAAGCTCAACTGCAAAACACTGACTCAAAACCAACAACACAAATACAGACAAAAACACAAAACAAAACCAGAAAAACAAACAGCCTTGAACTCGATCCCCGTTGAGTTTGAGGCCGAGTCGGGAGCTCTGTTTTTTGCCCGAGTTGTTGTCGTTTTAGTTGCTTGAGTTGCTTCTGAGTTGTTCTGAGTTGTTTTGTTGTGTTTTCTTGGGAAAACTACAAATTTCCTCCCCAACCAACCCCCTCAGACAAAGCTAAAGCACACACACACACAAAAAAAAAAAAAAAAAAAAAACTAACTCAGGAGAACCCTCAAACAACAGCTCAGCTCGGAGAAAAAACAGAAGAAGAACCACAAAAAAAACAGAGCTCCCGACTCAGCCTCAAACTCGAGTTCAAGGCCGAGTTGTTTCTGAGTTTTTCTTGAATCTTCCCAGGTTGAGATTTTCCAGATTGAGTTTTTCGGTTTGAGTTGTTGTTGTGGATTTGCGTTTTTGGGCAACATCCCGGATGTGCGGCCTGTGTGGGCGAGATCAGGTCATAACCATGTCTGAAGCAATCTACGGTGTGAGCGCTTCCACTCCTTTGACCAGGGGCTTATGTTCCCCTTTCTGGAAAGGTCAAACGTGGCAGCTTTAGGATGCTTTAGGGCCATTCTTACATCGGTGTTTGCTCAGTTGTACCGGAGCAAGGTTCGATCCATGACCTTTGTCCGCACCAGCACCCCAAAGATGCACGCTTAAACGGCTTCAATGCTTTGGGCCAAAACCAAGAGGCTCCGAGCAGAATTTGCTGAACGCCCCCTGCCTCAGAGTTTGGCCCAGGCGATCTGCAGGGAATTGACGGGCCGGAGTCGCGAGCGCCTCGGCAAAGGCTGAGCGGCACATCGCCACGTGTGGTTGCTCTTACCTTTGGTTGCCCTTGTGGTTGCTCGTAAAAGATCAGAGCAACCCTTTTTGTGAAGTTTCTTTTGTGGTCTTATCTTTTTCATCGGGGTGTGTTTGTGCCTGCCATCATGCCAGCGATAAGCAAGCGGGAGTATGCCTTGCAAAGGCCCAGAGGCTAGCGGTGATGGGTGCCTGCACCGCATATCTTCGGTCAAAGAAGCCGAGGACCAAAATAGCGGGTAGTTGCATACTCGTTCATTTGGGTGTAGCTCAAAATTAAACAGGAGGGGTTACGCAGGTGTTGGTCCATGTTTCCACTTGCCAGGGTTCCATTTTGGGTACCGGTTTATTGAGCCACTGCCATTTTTTGAACGGTGTTACAGGGTATAGCAACAATTAGGCCGTGGCACACATTCCAATCACTTTGAACTCAGAGTGGGTGTGATGGATTGGAAGGACTTGGACTCTTTTCAGCTATGCCCAAGGTGTAAGTTCAACAGGGCTCCTCAAAAGATACATTTTGCCCATGTGAAACATGGCTTTTTCGTCCGAAATAAAGGGACACCACCATTTACAAGGCAATGTTCAGGTGTATAATGTAGGATCCCCGTTCAAGAGAGCGTTTATATGTCCCATGATTTTCTTGAACTCATTTACGGGGCGAGAACTGTCCAGGACATGTCCGCTTGATTGCGCGCGGCATGGGTTTTTGTTTTGCTGGAACTCGTGGTAACTTCCATTTGCCTAAAAGAATATGCTGTTTATCTTCCCCAGTTGGTTTTGAAGGGAATCGATTTCACTACTGGAATCCGGAAATTGGTTCATTCATTCATTCCAGGCGAAAGACCTTGGGTTGATTGACGGATAGTTGAGCCAGCACGGCGTCCAGCAGTTCGCTTGAAAATCCTTGACCGGCCATGGGCTTAAATCCAAATCGGTTAGCCCCCAGTGAACATCCGATTCAATCCAACCGCTAAAATAGGAAGCCTAAAATGGGTGGTGAATTCACCTACCCCAAAATGGGATGGCATTGGTTTTGACCCACAGCCATATTTCGGCTTTCCTCAAGTGCATCCCTATGGCATTCGTGTGGCATCCCTTTTCGGCGAAGCGACCTCGCAACGATTTTTGATTGGAACCAAAAGCCCATGATGAATAATGCTTTCAATGGGGTGTCCACTTCTCGCTTGGTACCGCCACAAAATACCCCGAACCTTTTTTGGCATCCCGTTTTCGCATCATGTCATCCAGCATAGCAGACCTCTGAAGCTGTTGCAGCGCTGCGACCTACACGGAATTGCCGCGGAAAAAAAATGGACTGCCCGCATCTTGCAGCCCCAGCTTGAAATTTGCTCATATAATCCATGGCAAGGGAATCCATAGGGTGTAGGGTGGATATTGGGTTCTGAAAGTGTTCTGAATGGCCCGAGAACAGTCACAATTACGTTGCAATGGCTCCTCTTGCTCCTTGGATTGGCCTGTGAGGTTTCCTGTTGTTTCATTTCCTACAACAGTATGCACGAAATTTGAATGGTGCCCTATGCTTGAGCGAAATCATGCGGTGGTTATTTGGTAAGTGGTGGACGGCAGTGCACGGAGATGCGCTAGCAAACCAATGTGGCATGCGTCGGCGAAGCGATCCGAACTCGTCCCCTATTCGCATCGAGACCACCAAGCTTCAAACCTTGGCTTTCCACACGATGGTTGCTTCGCATGAGTCAAAAGTCAAGCGCAGGGCGAGGCTTCAGCTTCCCGCGCGTGGCGCCACCATTGGCAGTGGTTCAGCCAATTGCGTCGCAGCACTTTCGACCTGCAACCATCCCCCGACGTGTGTAACAAAGACAATAGCGCGCTGACATGCTTGGCCTCTTAGGAACGTTCCTATTCTCTCAGCATGTGCCTTGCCTGGAATCTGGTATGCTGCATTCTGTTTGTTGCACATTTGCTTTCCATGCGGTTCACATATCACCGATGTCGCGCAATCCACCGGCAGAGTTCCTTTTTCTGGCTGAACGTTTCATCCTGGGTGTTGTTGGCGGCCGTGCCAGCTGTCAGCTGCGTCACCTAGTCCTGGACGGGGTAGTTGTCGACACGACGGCTGCACTCAGCCTGCCTCTGGCTTTGCGCCGGAGGTGCGGGCCGGGTAGCGGTTCAACCTGCACGTCGGTGAAGCGCGATCTTCGGACTGCCCAGCCACGCCCTACAACCGCAGGTTTTTTTTTTCACCTTGGCAGGGTTGATATCCTTCCTTGGCAGATTCTGCACCGTGCGGCTCGCTTCCGAATGACGCTGGCTTCCCAGCTTTTCCGCGCATCGCTCCCAATGCTTTCGACTCAATTCCGTCAAACCATCAATCCGCACATCAGCAACTT